CTCTCTCTATATATATATATATATATATATATATATTCATTTTATAAATACTTTACATTTTAATTTATGCTGAATTAAACGATTTAATTACAAAACATCTTAATTGTTGTTAATTTTTTATGTTTATATATATTTTGCATGTTTATCAAAAATGCAAATATTTTTTTATTATGTTAAACACTTTACAAAATTTTATTTGTATTGAATTAAAACAATTAGTTACGAAAAAATCATGATTTACTGCTGTAATTTTTTTTAGGAAATACAGCAATATATAAAAAATTATTTTCTTGCACCTGTGTCTTTTTCCGGATTTTCAAGCATGTTTCTGCTTTGAATAGTTCTAACGTTATAATTAATTTCAGACCTGGTTGATTTGGTTCATGGATCAGATTTTTTAAATTATTATAATTTTTGTAATCCTTATGGAGAAAATGCATGGAGAAGTACGAGACATTTGCAGTCTCATGTTTTCTGAGGACAGTCGCAGACATCAGAGTCACGTGTGTCGGTCACGATCCTCCTGTTTACCCTCATTCTGAGGTGCAGGTGATTTGATGTAAAACATTAACCAGTGAACTGACATTTAAAAGGGCAATGGGGCATTAAATTGAATATCCTGTGTCAGCAAAGATTTGAAAAGGCCCGTCAGAGACGAAATGGTCCTGAGTTAATTTGATGATGACTGACTGACTCCATATTTAATGCATCGACCGCCGGCCCAATAAGATGCATCTCAACATGTTAAAAACGCTGATCTGAGCGCAGGGTGCATGTGAGACGTCTGCTGCGTTCGGACATCAATGGGAAGCACTTTGGCTCGAGATCAGAGTTTAGCTAATAGAATTTAGCATGTTGTAAGCATGATTTAGTCTATTTTAACTATTTATACTTTAACAATTTCAAAGAAAAAAAAATGAATTATTACAATACATATAAAATGTACTTAAGTGGGTCAAAAGTTTTAAATTGTATTTAACATTAACTTTAAAACCAGATGAGTCAAGTTTGATGACAATTGCTAGCATGTTTCTATATGTTTCAGCGCATTGCTTGGTTATGTTGCTAACATGTTTCTATTGATTTACCATGTTGATAGTATCTTTTAGCATGCTGTTAGAATGATTTAGCATGTTTCTTGCATGATTTATAGTATATTTTAACGAAATTTGTATTTAAAATTCATATAAAATGTACTTAAGTGGGTCAAAAAAATTCTAAAGTTGTATTTTAGTATAAATTTAAACTGTAATGAATTTTCATGGAATTGCAAATAACAGTTCAGTTCACATTTAAATATGCTCTTATTTCCATTATGAGTGCTCTTTATAAAAGTATGCTAAAGTGTGCTGCTGCTCAAGGGAGTCTTTATGTTCTGTGTAATTGCTCTAAGTAAGTTAATTCTGAGAAACGACCAACATCTGTCATACAGTACACGTGTCCGTGTGTGTGTGTGTGTGTATGTGTGTGTGTGCGTGTGTGTGTGTGTGTGTGTGTGTATGTGTGAGAGAGAGTGTGTGTGTGTGTGTGTGTGTGTGCATGCATGTGTGTGCCTGCGTGTGCGTGTGTGTGTGTGCGCGTGCGTGTGTGAGTGTGTGTGTGTGCGTGTGTGTGTGTGTGTGTCGAAAACGTTACACAACCAGCTCCGTGTGCCTCAAATCTGCACTTTATAAGCTGTCGACTTCATTGCCATACGGTAGAAAACAATCAGATCGCTGCGCTGGGCGGCCCATTGAAACGGCGTCTGTTTTGAAGGAGTGAATGATTTATGGCAAATGAGCTGCCATGTATTTCCTCTGATAATTCTCGCTCGCGCATTTCAGCATTTCAGCGGCATTTGAGACGAGATCGGGTTTCTCACCTATAAATCGAATAATAGCACACTTTCGCATGACTGAATTGAATCAGTCAACAGCTCTCTGCTGGAGAAGTCAAAAGGGCAGGTTCACACATTCTGAAGGGAAATACACAAAGGAGAAAGAGGCTTTCAGATGCTTTTTTGCCTAAAAACTTTGCTTGAACTAGTGCAATGCAATAAGCACTACTACTTAAAGGAGAAATCAATGCATAATGCGTTGATGATTTAATGTACCATATTTTTCGGAATATAAGGTTTTTGTTTTGTTTTGTTTTTTAATCATCTGAAACATGCTGTGACATATTCTAAAGTGATTTATATCATGCAATTAATGTCAAAAACATTTTGGATTTGTGCTGAATGAGAGAAGTATGTGAGCCCAAGTTTATTTGTATAATGCATTTTCCGCATTCCACTTTAAATAAATAATAAGTGTAATAAATATAATGTTGTTTATAATGAATGCCACTATAATTTATTTTTGTTTTATACTTATGTTTTTCATTCCTCTTCTGTTCTGAATACTGTTAAATTTAAAGGATTTGCTGTGAAGTGAGAGGAAACTGAAATACATGTTTTTAGTGTTTATAATGTTTATAAACGTTTTATTTTTTTGTACTAGTATTTCACACTATTTCTGAATGTAATAATAATATGTGACTTGCACTGATACAATTTATCTGTGTTTGTTTATTTGTTTTTAAATCAACAACAATGCTGTATTTTTTTGTTTCTATCAATGGTTTATTTTCCAGAAAATATTTTAATTCTTTAAAGTTGAATTACTTATTTGAATTTGAAGTTTAAATATTTGTATTTGGAATTTCACAAAATAGTATCCTTTTTTATTTACAATTGTTTAAAATTATTTATGTAAAAACAAATCTTACAGATACTAAAAAGAATGAAAAGAAACAACATTCTAAAAGTCATACCAAACTAAATTAAAATAGGTAATTAAAAAATAAATAAATAAATAAACAATCTGAAATGTAAAAAATATATAATATTATAATTTTATATATACATATAATGCTGATGATGATGATGATGATAAATGTAAATTTACAAATATTTTTAATTAAAAATAATTAAATATTTAAGAATACCTTATACAAAAAGAAAAAAAATGAAACTGGGAAATTCAAAACAATAAACTACCAACAACTCAGAAAACATGGGGCCAGATCTTTTCATATAATGTCCTTTAGGGTAACCTAATTCTTTCTAAATGTAATGTACTAATCAAATCTATAAGCCACATTCTAAGTCTAAAGTTTGGTACTCAGATCTCTAACCTTAAGTATAAGCTCTAATAATAGTGACGCGCTTAGTAAACACGACTATCTGTACTGCTGTGTGTGGAGTCTGTGTTCACGGGATATTCTTTGAGAAATCAAATCTATGAAGCAATGAAGCAATGAAGTCACCAATAACTCCAGACTCTGAGCCCTTTTGATTTTGCTTTGATGGCTGTTAATTGCTTGATGAATGGTGATGCCCGGGTGCTAAAATGTCTGATGCCGCCAATGGAGAGTAGGAGCATCGGTACAAATTGAGTTGAGAGAACCCTGTTACCATAACCCTGTTATTAAGTTTACAGGCAATAAGTTAATTTAGAAGAGCTCAGATGCCAGTAATGGAGACGCTTTGACGACCATGCAAGGCTCAAATGGGATTTCATGGCAGGGACTCATTGTTACAGACGGCGGGCTTTCAGAGTGATACCAGCCGGGATTATGTCACATAAAAGCTGCGTCTGGAACGCAGAGACTGACAGATTAGCAAGACGAGGACCTTTTACAGCTCCATTAATGAGCCCAACGCTGACGGCATCATTTATTTCTACTGATGTATTTGTATTACACGCAGTAGAGCAGTTCAGCTATTGATCTCCACGTTCTCGCTGGAGCTGCGTTTGTGATCTTTTGAAGTGTTTGGAAGCTCTTTGAAGTCTCTTGAAGTTGCGTTTTCAAATGTTGATTTGGACAAAGAGGTTTTGAAAGTGGAAAAGCCAGCAAAATTAGTGTTGTCGTCTCACTTATAGTCTGAACGACTTCTGATCAATATGTGAATAATCTATTAATTTCTGAAAAATGATGCATCTTGGCATATTCTTTAATTCAATATTATTATTATTTTTTTTTAAAAAGGCAGTTTTGTTTTAAAATGCTACACTGTAAAAAATGATATGATCTGTAAGTCATGGCAATTACTTTAACTCATCAAAATAAGTTGAATTAAAAAAAAAAAGTTATATGAAATTGAACTTGATTTTTTTAAAAGTTGGTTTAATGTAATTTATGTAGAAATTATTTAAAATACAACCAAGTTGATAATACTTACAATTTTAAGTACATTTAAGTGTATTTAAGTTTATTTTTAAATTTAAGTTTAAAATAGGTGGACATTTTAACATAGTAATATTTAGTGAGGTGTAGTGATGTGACCAAAAACAAAAACAAAAAAACAACCAAAAGGAAATATTTTCCCCTGTAGACACTCCCACAAAATATTTTTTTTTAAATTCATGATATTTGTCCAACGTGTTTATTTTTACTTTGTATGGTTGGTGTGTATATATATATATATATATATAGAGAGAGAGAAATTATCTTTCAATTTTTTGTTTTTATAAATACAACCAACAACTTAACTGAACAGTTTTATATTTCTTTTTTTTTCTTTCTATATTTCTTTTTTTTTCTTTCTTTTGTTTTTAGTTCAACTAATTGGGATTGTAGTTATTTTCCTCACTAAAGCCGCTTTGTCAGATTCTCATGTACTTTTTTGCTTCAAATGTTTTGATTGTCCTCGTAGCTGGTTGGTTTGGTTCATGGCTTATAACACTTTAAGCATTTTTTTTCAAATCCCTATGGGAAAAAT